GTAAAATTTGAGAAAGGGATTGAATTACTTTTTGAGTGAATCTAATAGTTAATATTTGTAATTTTGGCATAAATGGTAAAGGTAAATATGTGTCAGTATCTTTTACTTGAAAATCAATAATGTTATTTGAATGAATAACAATTATATTTTTGTAATATGGAGAATCAGCACTTACTGACAAATCAATATATTCAGGTAATGCAGTTTTTGTAGGTAAACAACTAAGTCTACAATTAATTTTTCTAAGTAAAGGATATTTGTCCATTAAATATAATAAATTAACTGAATTCGTTGTGTACTTTGTGATTCTCTCTATTGAATCTTTACAATATTTATTAATAAAAATAAACTTAGAAAGTTCTTTAGAAGAACAGTATTGAAAAACTACTAAATATTCTAACCTTTCTAACTTATGAAGGCGTTCTATTTCCATTAAACAAATGATTAAATTATTTAGTTGAAACAAAAAAAAAATTAAAAGAAAAATTAAAAAATTAAAAAAAAAAATAAAACAAAAATAAACAAACAAAAAACAAAGAAATTAAGAAGAAATAAGTATCAACATGGAAGAGAATATCTTGCAACTGACCATAATGGTTTTGATAAAAAAAGAGATGGATTTGATGAAGACACTGAAATCATTTGTTTTAAAATTTCTTCAGGAGAAATTGGATTTTGGTTACAAGAGAAATGGTTAAAAGAATCCAATGAAGGAAGGTCAGTAGTACAATTCATTCTTTACTTTATTTTGAAAAATCTAAGATGAAACTATTTTTAATTTCTTTTTTGACTTTAAAATTCAATTCAAATTCAATTCTATTTTTTTTTTTTTGATTAACTCATTCACATTTTAGAAATTCAGTAATATTTTAATAATGAAAAAGATAGTCTAAAGACAGAGACAAGAATAATCAAAAAAATTAATGAACAATAAAATAAAAAGAGAAAGAGAAGAGTAAATAATGAAGTAATAAAAAAAAAAGTAATTAAAAAAAAAATAAAAAAAGAATAATAAAAAACTAAAAAAAATAGTTGTAAATAGAAATATGAGTAGTTCAGATAATGAAAATGTCTCAATGGAAATTGAAGTTGATGGAAATAAACCAAATAAATGTAGTTATTGTGGAGGTACTGAATTTAGAAATGAACAAGGAAGCTTAATATGTGAAAATTGTGGATTAGTTATAGATAATAGTCGAGCATTAATTGCAGAATTACAGTTTGATGAAAGTGGAGGAAAAAAGATTTTAGCAGGAACACAGTTTGGAGAAACTGAGAAAAAACGATATGACATTGAACGACAAATGAGAGCAATTAAAAAAGTAGGAGAAATGCTTAAAATGAAAAGTATTGATATAGAAAGTGGACAAAGATTATATCGTGTTGCAATGCAAACTGGAATTACTAAAGGAAGAAAATTTTCATATAGTGCTGGTGCTTGTTTATATATTATTTGTAGAAGAGAACGAAGTGATCATTTATTAATAGATTTTGCGGATGTTTTACATGTTTCTGTTAGAAGACTTGGAAGAACATTTATTAGATTTTGTGAAGAATTAAAATTTGATTTACCATTTGTTGATCCTTGTCTTTATCTTCAAAGGTTTGGTGAAGACCTTGCATTTGAAAAAACTGGTGATGTAGTTAGAACAGCAATGAGAATATGTCAACGAATGAACAGAGATTGGATGCATTATGGAAGAAGACCTTCTGGTATTTGTGGTGTTGCTTTATATCTTGCAGGAAGATTACATGGAGAACCAAGAACATTAGAAGAAATTGTTCATGTAGTTAGACTTTCTACTACAACCGTTCGTGTGAGATTAAAAGAGTTTTTAAGAACACCATCTGCAGATTTGACATTAGAACAACTAAATGAAGATGATCAATCAACTCCTCATTGTAATCCTCCAAGTTATACTTTAAATAGATTAAAAGATAAAGCAAGAGAAACAGTTGGTGCTAATGTTCCATTAAAAAAAAGAAAAGGAAATGGAGATGAATATGAAGCAGCTGAAGATAAAAAATTAACTGAAGAAATTGAAACATTAATAGGAGGTGAAGTAAGTAAAATTATGGGATGTAAAGATATTGATTCCAAACCTTTAAATCTTGGAACATTAGAAGGAAAAAGTGCAAAAGATGTTGGATTAGAAGGAGAACATTTTGATGTAGAAAAGTTAGTTGATATAAATAAAATGAAAGAAGAAGATTTTGAAAGTGAAGGAATTGATGAAGGAGAATGTGTAGTTGGAGATTGTAGTGAATTTGACAATGAACTTGATGGGTATTTTTTAGATGATAAAGAAGCTGAAAAGAGAAAACAAATTTGGGAAGAATTAAATGCTGAATTTTTAGAAAAAGAGAAGAAAAGACTTGAAGAAGGAGAAGAAATTCCTATTAGAAAGAAAAGAGAAAAGAAAACAAAGAAAAGTCATAGTACATTTGGAGAAGCAATGTCTGAACAACTCAAAAAACGATCATCAAGAATTAATTGGGATGTTCTTGGAAAGATGATTGAACAAACAGAAAAATTAGCAAAAGGAGAAGTTGATATTAAAATTGAAGTTAAAGATGAAGAAAATGACCCATCATTATTAAGTCAACATTTAGAACAAAGAAATGATGAATCTAGTGAAGAAGATACTAATGATGAAGGTGGTGCTTTTTTTATTGGAGACGTTTAAACTGACTGGTATTATTGATATTTTAATTTTTAATTTCGACAATTTGTATTTTATAGTATAGAAGATTAAAATGAAGTTATTGATTATTATTTTTGATAGTTTATAATAAGAGTATTAGTATTATTGTGAAATTGTTAAATTGAGTTAAATCTTTCATTAAAAAATTGAATGATTTTTGTAATTAAATTTGAAAATAATTTCAATAAACTGATTTAATAATATAAAATAAAAATATGTATTAAATTAGATTTAATAGTATTAATTATTTTGTACTTTATTATAAGAAGATAACTATTGTAATTTTGTTTTTAATATTTCCTTATTTTCAGTGTTACTGATTATTAAAATTTTATTATTATTATCAAATTAAACTCAGTTAATCATTAAGATAAAAACCAAAGTATTATAAAAACTATAACAAAAATTGTAATTTGTCCTAATTATTACTCTCCAACAAACTTCTTTCTTCTCTATTCTTTTTGTTATTTATTTTTTGATTTCAATAAATTTTGAAATAAACCCGTAAGGTGCATCACTTCTGAAGATTTTTTTTATTTGAGAATCTACATTTAAAACCCATCCTTTCTCATATTGGTATTGAAATATTTGTAATGATTGATTCTTTATAAAGTATTTCACAGCTTTCCCATTTTCTGGTTTTTGAATATATAAAACTAAATAATCATTTTGGTGAATTATTCCTTTACAAACGTTAAATTGATATCCATTAAAAAATGTCTTTTCAATTGACCCTTCAATTTTTTGAGTTAAATATTTAATGTTATTATCAAAATATTCATCTGGAAATTGACTGATACAAGTTGTGACATATTCCATAAAATCTTAATTATACTAAAAACCATTTATAAAGTTTATAACTTATTTTTATTTTTTTTCGTTTTTTAATTAAATTAGATACAATATATAAAAATAACTCATTCAATATTAAAAAAGATTATTGAAAATTCCGTTTACTGAACAAACCAACAAGTTTTTTAACATGGTATTATATTAAATTGAACTTATGACATATTTTCTCTCATTATAATTACAATAACTCTAATTTTATTAACAAAAATAAATAATAAATTAATATTTAAATCAATTGTTTATTTAAAAATAATAGAGATATAACAAATAACAATTCTATTTCGTATTTAGTATTTTCACTATAATGTGTATTATTTCCATAAACTAACTTTGCAGTCTCTCTCATTACTTCATCTTATTTCAGTTATAAATAATTCTTTTATAATGAAACTATTCTAATATTCCTGTTCAAAAAAACTTAATAATTTATGTATAACAATACCTTCATAATTTAAACAAAAAGTTACAAAACAAGAACAACATCATAACCAAGGATAGAAGATAAAAAAAACTATTTAATTTTTTTTGTGTAAAGAATAGTATTAAGTTTCAAGAATACAAAAATGTATTAGTTAAATAAAAAGAAAGAAAAAAAGAGTAAAGAAATAGAATTGAAAGTAAATGAATAAAGAAGACGAATAAATTTATACAGATAAAATGAATCAAAAAAAAAAAGAAAAAAAATTGTTTATATATGAAAAAAATTAAAGAAAAAATCAAAAAAAGAAACAGATTAACCCTATGTCTGATTTACATCATCTTTCTTCACCTTGGATCTTTTGGTTTGAATCAGGTAAAGACTCTGATCGTTCTACTAGCATTACTTCATTTGGAGAACAAATACAAACGATTTGTACAATAGAAAATTTCTGGGGATTTTATGAAGATTTTCCAAATATTACTTCTGTTTTAAAAGGAAGTGATTCTCATTTCTTTAGAGACAAAATAAGACCAACTCAAGGAGATGATGAAAATAAAAATGGGGGCAGAGTTGTGTTTTCTTTTGATCTTAAAACTCAAGAACAAACAGAACATGTAGAACAAATTTGGTGTAAATTAGTTTGTTATATTTATTATCATTAATATCAATTTATTTAACTTTGTAATAAGTACTTATTTATTTAGTTATGTTATTGTATTGGAGAAATATTTAATCAACATGAAGATGTTAATGGTGTTTCATTCTCCATGAGAAGCCAAGCAAAAATTACTATTTGGTTAAAACATAACGATGAAAACAATGTAAAAACATTTGTCGATGATTTGAGAAATGACTTTGCTATTACAAATAAATGCAAATTCTTTGACCATCAAAAACAACTTGCCATGCCAATTGAATTTTAATCAAATATTTATATTCCTTATAATTTTATATTAAATGACATTCTTCTTATATTAAATAAAATGAAAAATTCAAAAATTATTTAATGAATTTTTATTCAATTATTGAGCAGCATTTTGACCAAATTTACTCATTAACTTATTCAAAATTGGTCCAACTTTTGGATCACTCATTAATGTAGCAATTTGTGCTGGATTACTCATAGCAGATGATAATTTTGTCATAACGTCTGGATCTTGCATAGCAGCCATTAATTCAGGATCTTTTGCAAGTTCAGCAAATAATCCAT